AGATACATAGATGAGGAAACAGATGGAGTAAAAGCATAAGCTATGGTAACACTGTCATAAAGTGACAACAATTTGACTTATAACTGCAGTTGATTTAAATTGCAGGCTGCTAGTGCTGTTACTCGTAGCAGGATCTGGATCTTCAGTTTTTAATTGTACTTTATAACACATCTTTCAATTTGCTTTGTAGCAAATACTTTGCTTCCATAGTATCAGCTCTGCCAAATAATATCTACTTCACATACTGTTTGCATTAACGCTTTGACATAAGTCCCAGCCTTAGAATTCACAAAGATTTTTACAACCCTTTATGTGTGATAATGTGTTAAAAAGAATTTAAGTTCTGTCACATTCTATTACTATTGTTATAACAGCCAGCAATTAATCCTTACATTTACAGTCTGTAAACTTGGTATTTAATACTGAGCAGTACAGTTATAAGCCACTGCAACAGGCATGAGTGTCCTTTCAAGCAACTGCCATCTGCTGTGTCCAGCCAGAGGGCAAATCTGTGTCATTACATGAGACTTCGCAGTCTTGCAGGACTGGAGATTCCACCCAAGCTCTGCTTAGTTTATTCCCCCATATTATCAACAAATATTCAGAACAATTATAACTGAATCAGTGCTAGGAGGATTTCTGAAAAGAAGCGGAGAACTCTACAGAGAGATGCAACTTCTTTATCTTGCTGGCAGATGGAAATCCTATTGTTCACCACTGAATAAGACAAATCCAGGAGAGACATAATCGCTCCAGTGTGTTTTAGGTGTAACTTCAGCAGTAATGTCACTGCTCTGTTATTATGCTGCAGCCTTGTTGGAATTAAGGGCCACATTTGGAGGAGATTAAGTATCTTTGAGCAAGACAACTGCAATAATGAATATGTAACAATCCCTTTGCTACACTTTACTACTGACAGAGGTTCTAATTTTATCAGCAACTTTTTCTTTTTTTTTTTTTTGTTTTTTTTTTTTTTTTTTTTTTTTTTAAGCAGTAAGAAAACATCATGCACCCAAAAAAGATTTTGTATCACAGATTATTGTTTTCTAGTGATATTCCAATAATTGGTGCCAAAAACACTGTTTGCATCCACTCTACATGTACTTAATACAGTTACATTTAATAGGTACACGCAAAACTGAAGTTGAGAAATGTGCAGCAACTTTTTTTCTGCACAGCCTGCAGTCTGAATAGTTCTTTCTGAGATCCTTGAGAGGTCTTTTTCTAAATTAAATGCAAAGATTCATACGCTAGAGAATGTGCGACACAATACCAGTCATTCTTCCACCAGATGGCTGCTGGTGATGTTTATATTTTACCCAAAAAATAATTTTTAAAATGTTAATAATATAGTAAAACAGACATATGCATGCAAGTCTCGTTTGCTCTACACTGGGAAGAGAGGACCATTTCACCTGCTGATCCCTGGGACTCAGAAAAAACTTCAGCTAGGATCACTAGTACAATCTAGCCAAATCTCCCTTTGATTTAATCATTTTTGTCTATATTTTGTCTGAGAAACCTCTATATGCTTCCTGTTTCTGAAGGATCATGGCATTTTGTTAAACCAAAATTAACACAAAAATAGCTATTTCACTGTGAAATTTAAAAAAAAATGATGAAAGTGTTTCACATTCTATTTCAATATTAAAAGTGAATCAGTTAGAAGTGTCATATCAGTAACAGTTCTGAGAAGAGATTAATCCTTTTCTACTTTAGGGACACCTTTTCTTTACTGGTTTAGAGTAATCAGATACAGCAAACAGTTTTCATTCAATAAACAGATCCATATCTTCCCGGGGTTACTTACTAAGCAATTGCAATTAAATATCAATACTGAGCCCACAAAGAAAACTGTCTTTTGGCCAGTACTAGTGGACTCAGTTCTCCAATCCTTCTGCACCTAGAACTCCCGTTAGTTTCCAAGCCCGTCCAGGGGAAGCACAAGGAACCTTTGTACTTCCTAAGATGACTGTAAAAAGCATTTACGGTATACTAGGAGCCAATCTACTTGCCACTCACACAGAAAGTATCTTTTCTTTATACAGCTTTAAAGTCCCATTTTCAGTAAGAAATCTTAAATCTTTTTGCACTCAGAGCTGGATTGAAAAAGCTTATAAATAATAAAAAGGCTAATTTTTCATTTCTTGCCCATGAAAATTAAATCAGAATCACAATAGTTCATTGATGCCAGAGCCTTACAAAAATTTATAGTGTTGAAGCCATGCCATTTTGACTAAATGAGTTTATTCATTCCAAACACATTACCAATAGATTTAGTATTAAAAGGTGAGGAAGGGGAAAGGAAATCAAAGGATGTCTTTTAAAATACTGAATACTGTTGACTTTTGGCGAGTCCTAAAGCAAAAATATTTTCTAAAAAGAGCTGCTTAAGTGCTGGTGGGCACTGAGCTGACCAAATATGAGTCACTAGCTTTTCCATTCCACTCCTTCTCATTTCTATAACCCTTCTAAAGAAGAAATAAGCAGATCTTCACACCTCCTTTCTCGATTCTGTGGATGACACCTCATACTTCTATTTCTTTTCTATGTTAAATAAAGCAACTTGAAAAAAAGTCAAGAATTTTAGGAATCTTTTGAGATTTTTCTGAATGGAAAAGATTCTGCTGTCTTAAGAAGTTGCTGATATATAATTAATACGTTATACAAATACATAAAGAAATTTTCTTTACGTTTCTTTACAAAGTGGCATTTTATGTAAAGACAATTAAAGAATACAGGATTTAATGTAATAGATTTTATAAGGGCTATGATTCATATTTTACCCTGGTCAAAACTTGCAGCATTTGCACTTAGTCATATTGTTTCCCCACTGCAGTATTCTATTCTATCTGAGTAGTTTCCCTCTCCAGCTTTCAAATGTGAGGTATTATGTCCTATTTTATCTCTAAACTACTTTAAGGAAAAGTAGAATAGGCAAAAGACAACACTGAAGTATCTCCCTCATACTCAATCAGGGAAATTGTGCCAAATTCTTCTCTCTTGGTAGCCAGTGGAAATACTCTGACTTCAGTAACAGATCAAGCCCTGCACAGACAGCTCCCTGCATCTCTACGTAAATGGCACACTGTATTTGCTAAAAGTGCAAGCAGTAATTTCTCTTCAGAATGCCCCTACAAACATGAGAAGCCTGAAGCACTTTTTCCAAAGTGTCTTTTATACAGAGGACTAGAGGAAAGGATTTTTAAAATAGTTACCAAACATAAAACCTAAAAACCTATCAATGTGCTCAATGTTGAAAATTTTTAAGGAAGTACCAGCTAACTTCTGGGGTTTTGTTTGTTTGTTTGTTTGATTGATTGTTTGCTTTCCAGGCTGCTTGGGTTTAGATTTTCATTCAACTTTTCATTTGTGTCAACACAACGTGAAAAGATCATCTACATAAATCTTGCTCACCAGAGTGACTTCTACTGTGCTCACGGGAAAGTGACATAAAACATCAAAATCCATCATGCCTTTCTATACGGCATTTCTTCTTCAGTAAATTTAGTTTTGACATAGTAACGGAGAACCGAATCTTTGAAGCTCTGCGAGATTAATTCATCCTCAGCATAACTCCACTGGAGTCCGTGGAACTGCAGCGAGGATGAAATTTGACCCCTACAAATCTCTGGCAGAAATGGGGCCAGCAGGGGGCAGAAGCCCTGACGGAGCTGACACCGCCAAGGTTGTGACCAGGTATAAAGGGCTTCAACGGAGACCCCGATCACCTTGCTGAGCTGCCATTAGGACACCCGTTGATTCAGAAAGTGGAGATTCACACCGAGAAATACTTCGTGAAAGTAATAATAATAAAAAAGCCTAAAAGTTAAAACTTTATTGGTGGAGAGTTAAAACTCCTTCATAGATGTTGGAGGTTGGAACTTGATGATCCTTGAGGTACCTTCCAACCCAAGCCATTCTATGATTTTACGATTCTGTGTCTGACACACAGAAAAATGAAATCCTCAGACCCAGCTAGGTTGGCCCCCACAAGCGCCTGCGGGACGAATGAAGGAGGGAGGAAGACGGGCAGCTTTTCCAGCCCGGCAGGAGGCGAAGGGGCTCCTGCCGCCACGGCTCACGCATCGCAGCTCCGCAGATGTGAGAGCTCAGCTCACAAAATCGCAGCGCACCGGACGGGACGGCGCGGCGGTACCCGAGGGCCGAGCCGTGCCTGGGGGCAGAGATTCCCTTTCTTTCTGCGGGGGCTGCCTCTGTGTCCTTCATCTGCTGCAGGTCGCTAGCGGGCTGCACCGCACCCACCGTGTCCACGGACACCTAAGGGACCACTCGCCCCCCCTCTTCCTCCCCCCCCCCGGGAGGCGGCAGAGCGGAGGGAGGCTGGGGACGGCAGCACTGCCCGCGCGGAGCCCGGGGCTGGGCCCCCTCCCCTCCGGCACGTCCTTCAGGCGTGCGCCCACCTGCGGGGTTGCCCTCCTCGCTGCCAAGGGCCCCTGCCATACTTCTACTCTGTCGCACTGGAAAACATTCTGCCCGCTGCGAGCCTTTGCAAAGGAAAAATCAGGCGAGGGGAGGAAAGGAGAAAATCCGAGAGGAGTCTCCACATCCAGCTTTCCCCTTCCTCGCCTCTCCGAGGAGGCAGATGGTTGTCGCTCAATTTCTGCCACAACTTCGTGAGCTTCAGCAGCGTCAAGAACCTAAGTTCAACAGAACTGAAAATCGCAGGCACACTCTATAAAAACCGAGCGGGGTGCCGGACGACGGGAAATCGCTCAACGCAACGCGTATTTGTTTCACCATCCCGTCCTGCCAGCGCATCCCCTCGGCGGCGCTGAGCCCAGAGCGGCGCTGAGGTGGGACGGGCGGCTCCGAGCGGGCACCCGCGGTCCCAGGGGCTCTCGGAAGGGTCCGGGCCCGAGCCCTCAGGGTTCCTCCTCGCCCCGGCAGCAGAGGCGTTCTGACAGCCCTGGCCTGGCCTCGGATCTCTTCCCCGACACGGGGGGAGAGCGGCGGCCGCGGCGCGTCCGTTTCCTTACCTCCTCTGACCTCCGCAGCCTGGAGAAGGACAGCGAGGGTGATGAGCACGGTCACGGCCGAGTCCCGGGGCCACCTTTTCGTTTTCCACCGCGTGGACCACCTCTGCATCTTCATGCTGCGCGCCCGCGAGCGTGAGTTAAACCTGGGCGCCTTCAACTTATACTCCGTCCTTTCCACAATATTCCCAGAGATGATTTCTCCTATAGAGCCATACGTGACACACCGAAGGGATTCTCTCTCCCTCGCCCGGCCCCGTGCAGGCCCCTCCGCCCAGTGCTCCCCGGTGCCCTGCCTTCAGACTGGAGGGAGACGAGGGGCTTTAATCAAAATGCACGGAGCGCCGCATCCCCCTAAAGGCTTCATCCCGTCAGAGGGCTGGGCGAGCGGCTCCGGGGCCACCCCTGCGCCCAACTGACAAGGCAGCCGCCGCCCGGAGGCCAATCGCGACGCACCCCCGGCCGCCCACGGCACCGCCCTCCGCCTCGGTGGCGGCACACCGGCCGCCCACGGCACCTTCGACTGCCGTGTCGGCGAGGACCGGCTCTCCCGAAGGGGAGCTAAGGGAACGGGAAACCGCCGTGCGGGAGCGACCCGAGGGACGCCGACGGGCGTATCCTGTCCCCGGGGCGCGGAGTCCCCTCTGCCCCGCCGCCCCCAACCCCACGGTCGCGCTACGGAGCATGCGCAGTGCCGCCCGCGGCGCCCCTCGAGCGGGTGGCGCGAAGCGAGGCTGCGGGCGGGGGGCGAGTCTCCGGGCGGGTGGAGCGGGGAGGGCGAAGGGGGGCGGGGGGTGTGCCGGGCGGCGGGGGGAGAAACCAGGCTGAGAGAGGGGCTGGGGGCTCTTAGGGGTGGCCTGCCCCGGCCGTCCGCTGCGCACCCGCTCCCGAACTTCTTTTCGCGTCTTCTTTTCGCACTGTCGCGGGGTGCCCTGTGCGAACGGAGGGAGCGGGAGGTGAAGGGAAATCACGCGCCAAACAGCCGCCGTTCCCACTGGACACTCGGGGACCCACCTGTGAGAGGGGAACCCCGCAGCGCGTCCCGCCGCTCTCCGCCCGGCGCCGCGTCCTGCCCCACTCCCCTGGAAAATGAGACAGTTGGGTCATGTTTCGGTAGAAGTGTGTATCAGAACTGTGAAAGTTGCCTTCACTGAGATCTCCTGCTTCAAAAAACAGCTTCTAACTAATAAGCAAATGGTTGAACCACAACATAAGTGTTATTCAATACGTTACATTTCAGAAGTGTATCATCCTTCCCTACAGCACCTGATCACAGAATCACAGAATCACAGAATGGCCAGGGTTGGAAGGGACCTCAAGGATCATGAATCTCCAACACCCCTGCCACATGCAGGGCCACCAACCTCCACGTTTAATGCTAAACCAGGGCCCCATCCAACCTGGCCTTGAACACCTCCAGGGACGGGGCATGCACAACCTCTCTGGGCAGCCTGTTCTAGTACCTCACCACTCTCTCTGTAAAGAATTTCCCCCTGATGACCAACCTAAATCTCCCCTCCCTCAACTTGAAACCATTTCCCCTCGTCCTGCAGTTATCAACCCTTTCAAAGAGTTGATTCCCCTTCCCTCTGTAGGCTCCCTTTAGGTATTGAAAGGCTGCAATGAGGTCACTCCGCAGCCTTCTTCAGGCTGAACAAGCCCAGCTCCCTCAGCCTGTCCTCATAGGGGAGGTGCTCCAGTCCCCTGATCATCCTAGTGGCCCTCCTCTGGACCCTTTCCAACAGCTCCCTGTCTTTTTTGTACTGGGGGCTCCACACTTGGACGCAGTATTCCAGATGGGGCCTCACAAGAGCAGAGTAGAGGGGGACAATCACCTCGCTGTCCCTGCTGGCCACCCTTCTTTTGATGGACCCCAGGATACCATTTGCAACCAATGTTTTACTGTACTACAATACTATTCACAGCTCTTTCTGTGCTTGCTTTTCTGAAATAGTTGATCTTGTCGTTACATTTACAAGTGAGGGGACTCACAGCGCATAGCAGTCTCCAGGTCCTCCCAGGTCTGGGAGCTGTTCATTGACGTGAAGGTCTGGGACTTGGAGCAGTCTGCTGCAGTGCAGCAGTGGAGCATCAGTACACCAGGTCTACGTCACTTTTCTGTACCAAAGCCTGCTGCTTCAGAACAAGTCCTTCAGTTGTCTGTTTCAAGACACACACTGATCCCAAAAAGTCAGGCATTAATTAGTTAATTAATTAGTACGATTACTGTTGCTCTCCCTGTTTGTGTTGTCCTCTGGTTTACCAGAGACTTCAGAGAGGACATTAAGTTAATCCCTTTGGTGCCTCATTCTTCTTCCTTGCAGTGCCAGTAGGTAGCCCCGCAAGTGGCTTATTCTTTTTGCTTAATACTTTGTTGCTGGAAAATCCCATGCACTATGAAGTCTGAGTTTCCTCTTGATGTTTATAAATCAGACATCTTTCTGTCAGCAATACTCCTGTTACATCCAGTCTGTTCTCACACATTGCCTCTGGCACTACTTTTTTGAGCCTTGCTATTAGCCTGAATTAATACAGCTACAATGGATCATAGAAAAAAGAATGTCTGTCCTCATTAAAAAGGGGAAAAGGAAGTGTTTCAGATAGGTGGTGAAAAAGGACAGGTAAATGTCACAGTGTAGAGAATGGTAACTTATCATAATGCCTTTGCAGTTACTTCAGTTTTAAGGTACATAATTCAGATCCCAAAATGTAAACAGAAAGATACCCACTCATCTGTATGGTCCGGCACTGGTTCTAAGAACAACTAGGACAAAATGCAGAGTGTTTGTCATTCCAAATTGAAACTTTAGATCTCTGCAAGAGAGTAGATTGAAAATATATCAATCCAGGTGAAGTGGCATGCTCCTATTGGTATATAATTCTGCAGAGTTTTATATTAATTCTATATCAATTCTAGTGCAAGAGCTTTTTTTAGTGCTAGCTCAGTTGTTTCTGCATGCCACCATGTCAAGCCGTATAGATGTGTAACAAAATGCCATCACATTCAGTGGCTGCAAGACAGAAGCCACGTGCTGTTTAAGTACTTGAAGATCCTCATCTTGTGACACATGAGATCCAGTGTTTAACAACTACTGAATTTTGTTTAACTGATTTTTTTAGTTTTTTAGTTTGTAATCTTAACTGCCACAGTGGTGTCCCAGTGAAATAATCACAGTAATCACAGCCTAAGTGCAGTGCAAATATATCAAAGAATAGATATGATTCGAAGTGCAGTTAAGTTGGCTGAGAGTTATAAAAGTATTAACAATTTGTAGTACTAAATTGCAGCCCACAAATGTAATTTCAGGAGAAATATGTTCTTTCTTGAAACTAATAGAGAATTGAAAAATGAAAATGTTTTCAAAGAAAAACTGAAGAGAATAATGTTGTTTTTTAAATCAACTGTAATCCACAGCGGTTTGTTTTTTTCATTAGCTTTCTTGTTCCCCATTTCTCTTCAAACAGTTTTAGTGAAAAGAAAGGCCAAGCACTGTGACATTCATTATGTTCTGTCCCTGACACATCAGTGTTGGCAGATTAGCCCATGTTTAAATATTAGAAATTGCTCTCTTGTATGTGCACAGATGGGTCATTGTTGTATTTTGGGGCAGAGAGGGGGAGGGGTTAGGAACCAAAGAGAAATATGTTTCTTTGGTCCTACATAGCTTACAAGAAACTAAGGGCACCTTTCTCAAGCTATAGGTACCCCAGTGAAATATGACTAAGCATGATGATCTCTTGCAATCTTGAAATCATAATGTGTTTTTCATAGCACACTGCTCGATATCATCAAAAGTGGAGACTTCTCAGTTTATGAAGTGTATTATTCATTGGGAATAACTAATGCACTGAAAGGAACAGGATGCTTTTCTTAGTTTCCATATATCCTGGGCACACTGGCTTGGCTTAAAGCACCTTGTTTCTAGCTTCATAAGGAGCTTGACACCTTCTAAATCTTTCATAGTACAAATATATATATATATAACCCTTACATTTTTAACTGAATGTGCCCAGTAGTGTGTAGTTAAGTTGCTATCAGAAACAATAACCTGGGAAATTAAAATTTCTCAGCCCGTGTAAGAAATAAAACTACTGTTAAGATTAGTGTTAGAAATTAAAAGATCAAATGACATGAGTACAATTTGAAATAGAGGCTTTGCTAATGTAAGAAAGGAAAAGTAGTTGGTAGGAGCCCATACAATGACCTCTCTCTTTTGCTGCAGAGGTTTATCTCCTTTTTGTTAATGTTAATGTTGAGAGTTTAAAAATGCAGCTCATAGAAAGTGTGTTCTGTTCCACAGGAACAGGAAGATAAGAATGAGTATGGATTTTTTCACTCAGAGTTGTGAAGCATTAGAGTAGGCTGCCCAGAGGTTGTGGATGTTCCATCCATGGAGATGTTCAAGTCCAGGTTGCATGGGGCCCTAGGCAGCTTGATCTTGTGCCTGATATAGTGTTTGGCAACCCTGTTCGTGGCAGGGGGGTTGGAACAAGATGATCTTGGAGATCCCTTCCAACACAAGACATTGTATGATTTTTTTCTATGATTTCTTGAAGTGCCACAAATGTAAGATTATGACTAGCGTTGTTAAAAGCCAATAACATTATTCTTAACTGTAGAAGAAATGCTAAACCATAGCTTGAAACTGCGATTGAGCACCTGGTGGGAAGGCAGGGACAATGCAGGGGAGCTCAGGTGCATGCAATGCTGCTGAGTGACTGGAACCTTCCCAGACCTCATTTAAGGGTTGTCAAGGAATGCAGGGATATCTCACAGGAGATCCTTGCATACTTGTGGTCTTCTGAAGGTATGCAACTTCTTTTTGTTGTTTCTGTACTCCTAGCTGTTACATTTGAGCAAATCTCACTTGCTGCAGATTAGGACTTTGCTTCTCTGCTATCATTGTTGCTCTTTCTATTGTGTTACATTAACTGTGGGGATTATTCACTCAAGTACTAATTGAGAATTTCATCTGTCCTAAACCTTCAGGAGTCCTTAACTGTGCTATACTGCCAAAGATGAGTAGCAGGGCTATATTAATAGAATCTGTTGTATTGTTTCACTATTCCCTGTAGAAATTAATGTCCTATTTTAAAATACAACTACTGGTAGAAGTGATTTTTGTTGGTGATACTTGTATATCTTGAATTGTCAGAATTTTCATTTAAATTTGGAGCATATGGCAAACAAGAAAATGAGAGAAGTGATCACTGATAGAAGTCAGTGCATTATACCAATGGTCAGGAAGAAAACCTTTAGCTTCTTGTACGCTAAGGATAAGTCTGGTGTCAGGTGGAGAGTTTAGGGTTTGTTGCTTTATTTCACTAAGAAGTAAATCC